GGTGTGTAGGGAGGGGAAACCTCCCAGGGGTACGTTCATCCGTCATACATGTGGATAAGTTAACCTCCACGGAAGGGTCATTTTAGTGGTTGAAACGTATGCATAAGCACACATACGCATGTGCGCGCAATTTCTATCCACATGCACTTTTCTACGTGTGAATATCGTTTCCGTCGGCGGGTTGTAAGTGCATCACAGGCTGTGCTCGACCCGGTTCCCTTAAGGTTAATGTATGGGTAGGAAGCCCCATTTTTGAGTGGAATTTAACGCGTCAAACGTCAGCCGAATGTGAGGTTTCATTCGGGGTCGTGTGTGCAGCGGTGAGCCGCAAAACCGATGCACGCTCGCTCGGGTGGACGGATGACCGAGGTGACGGGATGAGGTCAAATCACTCTGAAGCTGAACGAAAATGCGTCTGAAGGAATTTAAACAGTGCGAACAATTGTACTGAACGAGAAGCAATGTAACCGAGTTCGGGTAACAAATGCAGTGTCTCGAAACGAGGTGCAGCCAAATTCCGATGCGAGATGTAAAACGCTGCTTGCCAAATCCGGGCATAAAGTCCCTGAAACTCCTACTTCATCATCACCATCATCGACATTGGACACATCTTTCCGCCCAAACGGTGACCAAGTGTTTTCTTCGAGTCAGAGGAGTGCCCCATTCTTAACAGAATCAAGTTTTAAAAGAATAATAGTAGAATAGTGAACTGAACGTATTTCGGGGAGCGGAAGGCAATTCCGGTTGTCCACTGGAACTGTGTTCGGACAATTTACAATGTCGTAATCCAACGGACAGTGAGTACCCCAGACGTGAAAACATGGCGACAAGGCGAAATGTTGATGGATGAAACTAGAGTTGAAACAACTTTTCCCGTAATGAACGTGACTTGAGAACACAGTAGGTTTACGTTGCACAATTTGTGTCCGGTTGTATTTCGCTGTATCTCATCAGGTGCATACTACCGTTTAGATAATATTCATGATCACAATAAATTAATGAAAATTACCGTTAATAATAAGATCATAAACGTTATAGTTTCTACCAAGGCAACGCCGGGATAATGAGTAATACCTTTGGTTCACACATACACACACACACACACACACTAGGCTTTCATCGTTGAATCGCATTGGCTTCAGCACATGGTAGTAAACGTCAATTGGTCTTGGAGTGGATCGCTGAGAAGACAGTAGTAGTTCGGTCGAACCGATGCTTTTTCCCAGGTAAATGACATGCGATGGAAGAGGTTCGAATACCTGTCTGACTGGTGACCTGTTTCCCATTGATTGAGAAAAGTGTCCGTCACTCGCAGTTGAAGTTGCCCCTTCGGTTCGGCCCAGGTAGGTGGCCGAATACACTCAAACAGGCACGAACTACTATGTTCTCCGTGATCCCCATCAACAGCAATTCACGTTTACTGCCGTGTGCTGAAGCCATGGCTATCCAGAGACGAAAGCCT